GAATTTTTAATTAAAAACAGTGCGATTTTAGAAAACCTCTCGTTTCAAAAAATTGGAAATTCCTTTACGATAAAAATATAAGGTTCGAGGAGTCGCCACCAATCTTTGATTAGGGTATGATTGGGCACCCAAAAACATTGTCATTTTAAATAAAAATTAATTTTAATTAAAACGACAAATTTACGGTCTACGTTACCAAAATCCAAGTTCGGGAGTCGGTTACGCGTGGGGAAGGATTAGCACCCCCACAACGCCCTAAATCGGTACCTAGTTGATTAATTAATTTCTTTGCAACGAATTTCGCAAGTTCAAATTTAATTTGATTAATGATCCCTTTAAACAACAAACATGAAAATTTGCAACATTCAAAGCAACAAAATAGATTTAATTTAAAATTACCAAGTCATTAGAAAGATAAAGAATATTCGATTATTTAAAAATATCGAGACCAGATCTTTAGTTCAGTTCTAACGACCTTTTCTCGAAAAGTTTAAATAGTCGAATATTTCCTTTTCTTTCGCTCCCAAATTTTACAATGATATATCCAAATTTAATTAGGCGTTACTGACGGGATACCATTTTAATTTAAAATCGTCAAAATAACTTTCTTGTAAGTTAAGAAAAGCCATTCTGATAATTTTAGATTAAAATGGCATTACCCTTAATTCCGATTATGTGATTAGATCGAGTTATGCACACGAGATTAACATGCTTTTTTAAAAAAAACAACTAAACAAAAGTGTACTAACAACTTGCTCGGAATACTATACATGCATACATTTAAAATAAATATAAATTAAACTTACGAACATGGATAAAATATTAAACAAAGGGGCTAAAATGTAAAGAACACAAAAGAAAGGCTCTTTTCATAACATTTTCATTTCTGGGCAGTCCAAACATGATACAACCAAAATACTACATAGGATCAAAATGCAAGTTTCTAAAACTATGCATCCAATGTAAAAACAACACAAAAATGGCCCCAACATGAATTTGGACTATCATGAAAAACACTAAAAATCTCAATACACGGATTCCCTCAGCTATCAGAACGCTGCCGTTTTTGGGGTATCTAAACGACGTCGTTTTGGCGTCTTAATATATGAGATATTAGGGTAAGCTCTTTACCCTAATTTCATTTCTCATCAGCCAGACCAAACCAAGCCCCGCCGTTTTCCTTCTTCTCTCTCACTATCTCTCATTCTATCTCCCTCAACCCTAAACAAAACCAAAGGCCACCGCCGTTTAACGCTCCGATGAGGAGTCCAAAATGGCCAGAACCCTTCTCTTCTTTTACCCTGAACCCAAAATCTTCGAACCTACCACACAATAGCGACCAAAACCCAAAGTTTGAACTATTCCCCAAACCTTACTGCCTAAACCATGTGACCACCGTAGTACGCCCCTCTCAACGCCCCGTTGAGGAACCGAGACCTCAAAATAAACCTTACTATCCCCCTCTCAGAACCCTAGCCTCATTGAAACAAAGACCTCTCCCATGAACTAGGATCTAACCAAGCCTCCAGAAACCATATTCTCATGCAACCATAGTACCCAAAGATGAAACTCTTACCCTCGGTGACAAACAGGACTCAGGTTCAGGCGATGGCGATGACTCTGTTCTTCGGCTAGGGAAGGTGAGGGTTTTACCTTTTGTTTTTGTTTTTGCTCTTTCGTTCTCTGCCTCTTGTTGATTTTGCTTGACTGGGTTGTTTTGTTACCGCTGATGATTGTCTCAAATGGATCGTTTTCTGTTCGGTTTATTTTTTGGTTCTTAATTGCTTCGTGGTTCTTATTCTCTGATTTACTCGAGGGTTTTGGACTCCGGTTCTGGATTGCTTCTTTGATGGTTGATTTTGGATTCTCTGTTGTTCTCATTGGTTTTCTGTTTTTTTTTTGTGTTTCTGTTCGTAATTGCCTCTGTTTTTTGTTACTGCTCCATGGTTCTGTATTTTTGGCTTGCTGGTTATGGCTCCTGTTGCTCTCTCCCTTTGTTCATCCTCTGATTCCTGAACCGAGAGCCCTCTGAGCTTTTTTCTTTCTGGTTCGTGGACCTCCCTCCACTCGGTTTCATTTTCACTGCTATCTCTAGTTGATTTTTGCTTTCTGTTTTATGTTTCTTTCGTCCTGCTCCTTACTTGGTGTGCTTGCAGGTCACGGGTGCGAGCTGGTCATGGGGCTTCAGCTGCCTGGGCACGGGTGATGGGGAACAACCCCGAGGGACTTCACGTGGGTAGCACTTGGTTGGTTCGCGCACTGTCTTGGAGTTCTGAGTGCGTTGGGAGCCATTGGCACAGGGTCTTCACGCTTGGAATGTGGGCAGCACGGGCTGCTGGGGTCTCGTGCATCGTGGAGAAGTGAGTTCATGTGTGCTCGGTTGTCTTGGTGACTGAGCGTGGCATTGCTTTGGGCTTGCTGTTTGGTGGGTTGTGGGGCATGCTGCTCGGTTGGAGTGCTGTTGATAACCTTGAGGACTTCACGTGGGAGACACTTGGGTGTTGTGGAGCATGGGCACGGGAATGTGGGGAGCTGAGCTGGAGCTGGAGCTGCTGCACCTCCTGGGGCTTCACGTGAGGAGTATCTCTAATAGAGTACTAGATCGAGTCTTGATGTAATTATTGATGGGCTTTGTTTGTTGGGCCTCGGGTATATTGAGTCTTGTAATTTTGAGTCTAGTTTGGGCTCAATGGACTTTGGACACTTAATTTGTATTTGTGATTGAATTTCAATTTGTGTCCCGATTTCCATATATGATTCCAATCCCAATCGAGCACCTAAAGCCTTCAAACGTAAAATTCCACGCTCCATTATTTGAATTAAATCTTCATCGAGCACAAACATCTCCAAATTAATTCTCGTTAATCATCAAGTGAATTTAAATGGCCCGGACAAAATTAGGGTATTACAGATATAATGGGATGAGGTACTATATCCCTTAATAATGTCAGAAGTTCAAATCTTGGCGTTTGCGAATGGACCAAATTGGGTTGGGAGAGTCGCTTTCACCTCTGTAGTACTTGATTCGTATTAATCGATTAATAAATTAGATACCAATGATTGCTCTGTATATATATACACTAACAAATGAAATAAAAACTAAATTTTAAGTATGATTTAAAAAAAAAAATTAAGTACTAAGATGGATAATTTAAGTACTAAATATGTAATTTACCCTAAAAAATTGGGAGGCCACAGCCCCTCTAGCATCTATTAGCATACTTAAAACCTTAAAAGAGAACAATACTTTTTTAATCACCGAAGCCAGTTAATGAATTCCTCAATGAAAATAACTTTAAAAGAAAAGAAACATGGTTCGGAATATGTTACCAGTAGGAGTTGCTACAAGTGAAAAGATGCTTCGCTTCATGCAAATTAAGAGCGTTTAGAAGAAAAATGATTATGGAGAATGGTTGTGATGCTATGAAGCTCTCAAGTAAGGATGATAAATGGGCGGGGTCGGGTGCATATATCCCCTCCCTCATTCCCATACACATCTAATATTTTTAAATCGACCATCCGTCCATCACTCATGATGGGTAAAAATTTTCAAATCCACCATACGCTCACCACCCATTATGTGTAAAATTTTTCAAATCCACCATCCGCCTACCACCCATGATGGGTAAAATTTTTCAAATCTACACCCGCCCATGCCGGTACATTCTCAAATACATCCCCACACCCACTACCCAACTGGAGATGTACCCGACTAGACCGGTCCGACAACAACCTTAAGTTATACATAAACAACAAACATAAAACAAACATATACATTAAGAAACATAATAAAATAAACCAAAGGTAATCTGAGTTGTGTTAACGTAGCTCTTAAAGTGCATAAAACACCATAATAAAGACATAATTAAAGCTTAGAAACATAAATGACAAACACATAATATTTTTGTTCTTTGATACATAAATAACAAACCCCTAAAATTATACATAAATTTATAATGATCTAAAATTTAATGGTATTTAGTGAGCGGGTGGATGTGGGGTGGGTAAGGTCTCAAATCCATCACCCGCCTACAACTCGCGAAGGGTACCACTTTTTAAATCCACACCCGCCTACAACCCGCGATGGGTACCACTTTCTAAATCCACACCCGCCCACTACCTACTAAAGTTATACCCATCCTCGTCCCAATTGAAACGGAGGTTCACTTGGTTTTGCAGAGGTTCTGGCTTTTACTGCTCTGTTTGATTGTTCTGTGCATCGTTTTTCTCCTTTGTTTTGGGCCTGGCTACGTGTTTGCCTTGTTTGGATTTGGGCCGACCCGAATGCTTTGTAAGTGTTTCTATAATAAAAGAAACACCCAATTTGATTTAAGTATCAAATATAGTGCTTAAAACAAAGAATGGTCTCAAGACTAAATATAATGCTTTGTAAGTATTGACTAGAGATCACTATGGGGCGAATCATGTCTTTATTCTTTTATTATTATTTGTTAGTCAATGCTAACGCTTTTGTTTTTCAGCAGTACTCTATTTTTTAACAACCTTTTCATCCTATAGGATTTGCTAACCAGTTGAGCCTTAGCTCACAAACCTAAGACCATTCTAAGACCCAATTCATAAACCAAAATATGTAAAACCTAAATAATTGGGTCGATGCCAAATCTCATAAAGTTATTATATTTAAGAACAGATTAGAGTATGATAGAACCTCAATATAAATGAACTCATTGAGTACTTCAATGATTACAAATGAATATTGTTTTGTTCTAAGACCCCGAGTTCAAATAATTATGTTTATAGGATATTCTTATTATCTATAATTAAAAAAATATATGAATAAATATTATCTTGTAATTACCTCAAATTATTAAAAATACAACATAAATGAATATCGATGAATCAGCTATATATAATAACACATCTTATCGCTAACAAGATAATATTTCAAGAGTGCCTGCAAATGGATGCCTCTAAAAGCACAGGTAAAGAGAACCGGTGTTCAACAAAACTTCACAAGTATTTTTTCTCAAGAGAAGAGAAGGAAAAATAACTAAATAATACAGCTCAAATCGTCTTCTTCAAGGTGGCTTTAGTCATTCAAACTCACTGCTTTTAAATGACGAAAACCACCTCGAGTCGTCATCATCGTGTCTTAAACCTTGGTATAGGAATAAAAATAATTCAGTTAATAATTCATCCACCAGGGAACTGAAAACCTCGAGCTCTAACGCTGATCCCACACCTTCTTCTTCTTCCTTGAAGTTTCTCCAATTCTCTTTTCTTTCCATTTCTTTCAGATATGCTTTTCTTCCTTCCTGCGTTTCCCATCCTACAAAAACATCCTCACAATCCCCATTGATACAATCTTCAAACTCCATATAAAGCTCTTCTTCAGCTTTATCGTCGTCCACCGTTAGTGTCTCCCTAAAGAAATCTAACAATAGATTATCATCCATAAACTTGAAAATCTGTGATGGGATTTTGGTTTTCAATAACTTAAGTAATTTATCATTTTCTTCAAGCTCTGTCATAGCGATTCGTTTCTGTAAATCCACTGGCTGAAGCTGAGCCAAGCTCTGAAACCTTGGGACCTTTTGTTTTCTTCCTGCTGTTTAACACCAAATGTTATTCGATGTATGAGAAAGAAACAGAGATAATAAGAGGGATAAGATCGGAAGGGGACCTTCCACGTAGGGCGAGCCATCTTCGAAATGAGAGACGTCATCGAAGGGGAAATCTAGAACAGACACTGGACTAAACTGTTCTTTTCCTTCCTCGTTTCGCCAATCCTGCTCCTGTGTCAATTGATTGAATTATCAGTTTAATCTAACATGACCCGTTTTTTTTAATTTTATTTTTGTAAAATGCAATGTAAAAATTAAATATATACACTTTTTTCTTAATCAAATGATATATACCAGTTATATGTAAGGATGACCATGGACTGGTTGATTTTTTGATTCATTTGAACCTATTCGTAAATTAAATTTTTCTATTCATATCTAATTTAATCGAGGTTTAGGAGAATCTCACCCGACCCGAAATTTGACTTGAGTTTTTAGGTTAAAACTCACATCTGACTAGTGTTGTATCTAAATTTTTTTTAGGGTAAACACATGTATTTATTAATAACAAAAACAATTTGTATGAGGTGAATATAAATAAAATTTCAAACTGGACACCATTAATAAAATGAAAAGCTAACATGTAGAAATTATTATTTTAGGATGGGCACGTGTCCATCCTAGATAAGCCTTGCATTCGTCTATGCATCTAAACCAACTTAAAATATATATATATATATATATATATATATATAAGAAATAATTATAAAATTATGTTGTGTTAAACTTTTCACCCTAAACTTAAATTCTATCTAATCAGACTCGAATCTAAAATTTAAAAATAAAAAATCTGACATGACCAAATCAAATTTGGGTCAAAAGTCGGATCCCAATCAACAAAATAATTTATCAAACCATATATGATCCATCGGATATAGATCAAATACATAAAATAATTATTCGAAAAAAACATTATATTAGCACCTAAAAAACAACGCTCAACTAAGGATGATAAGTAATGAAAGAAAATCTGCGTTCAAGTATTATAAACAGCGGATATTGAGAGTGTATAATATTTATTATAAATACTCTTAATATTTTGATATTAAAGATTTATATACCTCTGCAAAGGTCATGTTTAAACCTGTAACTTTAAAAAGATAGTGAGATTAATTGATTTGTATAAATTTAGCAAAGCTAAATTATTATATTTGATGCAATTTTCGAGTATCTACACCGTTGATCCCCTGGAAAACACAACGTGTAGGGGGGATCGTTGGGCCTCGAAAAGCTCCATTGGAATTTAATTCCATAGTTTCCAGATGTACCCTATCATTTCCCCATAAATACTCAAATTTCAAAATACCCAATCGAATTTTCTTGTCAAATTCATTATTAGAAAAATCAATATATAAACTGTGATAAAGAGACATCAACCAATCAGATAGGGCCAACGACAGACAAAAATATGGATTTAAAAATTTATTCAATCACCTACCGCTTTTACCCCTGTAAAGTTGATGGAATCCTCACCGGCTGTTACGCCCACTACATTGCTAGCTACGACGTCGTTTTCGCTCGAGCTCTCCGAATTGCCGCTCGAAGACTGTAAAACATCCTCTGTAAATTCACTTTCAGCCCAGCTGTTACTGCTTGTGTTGGAGGACACCCTACTGGTAGTCATGCAGGTGCCGGCGTAGGTGTTAGTGTTGACGTTGCCGATTGTAATCTGATCCAACGGTTGATTTTTCTCTTCAAGAAATTCACGGAACAACTTGCAGCTTTTGATCTCACCACCGCCGCCGCCATCTTCCTTGTCGGCTTTTCTCCAAAAGCTTCTTTTAAAAATATTCCTTGAAAAGCTCCTGGTGAAATGTACTTTCCTCGTACTGTTCTTTTTCAACGACGGCGAGGATGACTTGATGGAAGGAAAAGGGAGTAGCTTGACGGCGTTCAGAACGGCCTCCGAAGCTCTCTGCAGAGCTGAAACGGTGGTACCACCGGGCTTCTTACGGCTTCTTTTGAGAAGCCGTTTCTTAGTGGTTGAGTAATTGTCTTTGGATTTCTTCAGCTCGGTCTCGAGGAGAAACCTGACGGTGGTGCAACAATGTTGACGTGGAAACGATTTGAAACTATGAGAAGAGCACGAACTCAGATCGTCTCTGAGCAGGAAATCTTTGAGCATTAGAGGTTTCTTCTCGAACGAAATCATTTTCTTAAGCTTAAAATGATCAGTTGGAAAACTGATCAAAGCCATGTTTACAGCTGTAAGCAGCGGTGGTTTACCAGAAGGAGATAAGATGGTGATCAGTACATAAAAACTATAGCAGAAAGAGCAGCAGCTTTTAGTACAATAAAGGAACGCAGAAAAGGGAAAATGACAGAAAGAGAGAGATTTATAGAGGAAAGGAAGTGGAAGGAAAAAGAAAGTGAGAGGCAAGTTCTTAAGGTTGGTGAAGATCTCTAGGGTAAAAAGATTTTAAAAGGAGAGAGAAGCTTCATCTCATTCTTCTTCATCATTTTCTTCTTCTTGTTTGTTGGTGTTTCAGTTTTTGAATCTTAAGTTGGAATATTTTAATGGGTTATTTGAATTGGTGAATTTAATGCACGTAAATGTTTTTCTTAATGATTACCGGGGTAAATTCAACCATTTCATCACTCAAATATCTTCGTAGTTTTATTTTAATCATTAAAGTTTAAATATTTTTAATTTAGTCAATAAATTTTATAATCGATCCTATTTTAATCACTCTTTGATGATATATATTGTTTTATTATTTTTTAATATGGCATGACAAATTTAATAATATTTAGTATTAAATAAAATTCAAAATAAAATTTAGACCGTTGTTGATGTGTTGAAAATGCAACAACTAAAACGCAAGTGTACGTGTCGCTACAAGTAGCAATAGCGCATAATGCACAAGTTGATCTTAGAGAGTAAACTAGCACCAAATGATCACAAGTATTAATGCAAATGGTTCACATGTATTGTTTGATAGAGTAAAGAAAACTAACTAATGCTCCAATTACTAACAACAACTACTATGATGCATCAGATGGTAAATGAATGGAAATATGATCAACCCAAGAGACATGCAATGACAATAATTTACTACAATTAAATGTAACACTAACGAACCTAATGATTCCAATCCAGCTTTTCAATCAACAAAACAACTTCAGTTCTAACTCAACTAAGCAATGACATCCCACAATCCCCTCAGGAAAAATGATGCTACCCCAAGGCATTATTTGTCTATAGCCTTAGAATGATGAATATTAGGCTCTACGTTGTGCAAGGTAAATATACATCCTCACAAGGGGCATAAATGTTACAGCTTCTCTCTCAAGGGCTCAAGCAACACTCTAATCGAATTCACAAATCGGGCCTAATGGTGTAATCTAGGTACACATACGGCTATGTCGTTGGTATGAAGCGCTCGATTGAAACGAAGTCAAAAATGCTAAACTTCATTGAATTGAATCACAAAAATATTTATCAAATACTTCACTAGTTCGAAACTAGTTCATTATCTCAACAAGTAAAATCAAAGAACTAAAAACAAGTAAGGAACAAGACAATGATAATTAATGTCGAAGATTGAAGATGATCGGAGATGTAAACACTGATAGATTATCCCTCTCTCAAGGCAATCTCCGTCCATGCGACAGCTGCTTCAAATTGACGACGAATAAGCCAAGCTTATGGAGGAGAACGATAGAGTTTTGGAGTGGTTTCTGAAGTCTTTGGAGTGATTTTTGAAGTCTTTCATGCAACTTCGGCTCTCACTCTTCACAACTGCAACTGTCTTTTTATAACTTAGGACCTCAGTTGCTGCAGCTCAACTACCAACTTCTTTTCCGGCTAAATTTAACAATTTCTCTTGCTCAATATAACAACTCTGCCACATTATCCTCCCTTGTAGAATGTTCCGATTCTCAAATATTATTACTTTCACATCCCACATCATTTTCTAATACACGATTGCTTCAGCTTTCCAATCCTGTCAAAGTTACGACATCTAATACTTCTGCACCACTTAAAGCACTTAATTAGTTTTTATTCCAATCTTGCCATTGTAACAAAAATATCAATTAACACGTAAAAATATACAAAAACATTTACGAAACAAACAATTATCCTTCTGAAGTATTGTTGTTGCATTATATAATCAAGAGTTATCAGTTGCCGACATTGATCTAGGGATTACTTATTGATCTTCCATTATTTCACCGACCACCTCAAACCCCAAGCTTAGAAATGCTTACACAGGTTTACAAGCATGGAAGCAAGATATTCTCTTTGACCCTTCTAATTTCATCGATATTGTTCTGCACAAGATTATTAAACTGAAGTTATTGTTTGAGTTGGATCTAGGGTTGGGATTTGGATTGGGTGTTGGGATTGAGATTGGGATTTTGGGATCGAAATCATATATGCCAATTATTTTTCATTTTAAATTTTGTTTATTAGTAAATATTTATAAATTTTCTACGTAATACTAAAAATAATAATACAATAATTCATATAATCATAGAGCGATGGAAATAGAAACAAATAAAAATTTAAGAGAAAATAATCTCAGTGACCAAAATTTCCATATAATATACGATTTTAACCAACTTTTTCCGGATTTGCCAAAATGACCAACAAAATCGCAATGCGATCGCTAATTCGCAACGCGATCTCCATTATCGCAAATCAGTTTCCAGATTCGCAACGCGATTATGACTATCGCAATGCGATTTTCCAATTTCGCGTTGCGATTTTCCCAATTCGCAATGCGAATAAGTAAATCGCAACGCGAATTGGGAAAATCGCAAAGCGATACAGACTATCGCAACGCGATACAGACTATCGCAACGCGATAATACAAAATCGCAACGCGATACTGACTTTCGCAACGCGATACTGACTTTCGCAACGCGATACTGACTTTCGCAACAAGATAATACATAATCGCAATGCGATTTTCAAAGCGCCATTAGTATCGCAACGCGTATTTTATTTTCAAATTCCAAACACGAATATTAATATATTGGAACACTGAACCGTCCACAGTATATCCCGTAATCGCAACTCATAACCTAAAACCTAAAATCACAACTCAATCCCATCTCCATCTCTCACTCTCTCACCCATCTCCGACGAAATCCGTCCCCATCTCCGGCGAAATCCGTCTATCTCCATCTCTCAGAGCCACCCTCACAATCAGAAATGGAAAATCAACCAAATCAACCACCGAGGGTTAGTTTTTTTAATTATTTTCTTTTTGAAATTTTTGCATTATTATTAGGTTTTTCATATTGAAATTGATGATAAGTTTACTGGTAATTTCAATAATAGATTAACCATTTCACTTAGATTGCTTATTAAATCAACCGAGAATCGCAACGCGAAATGAAAATCGCAACGACAAAATCGCAACACGATTTTAGTTTCGCGTTGCGATTCTCTCGTTGCGATAGTCAAATTCCTGTTGCGATAGTAATTTTCGTGTTGCGATTTTCATTTTCAGAAACTATTATTCTTTTGCAAATTGAAACTTGAATGAATTGCATTACTTCAACCAAAAAACAAAGACAAATACGAAATTCACAGTGTTGCAAATTTAAGTTTGAAGAATAAACTACTACTCTTTATGTTTATTATTGTTTTTGGTATATCTAACTTAGTATGTTTATTGTTTTTGTATAACTTTTATTCGGCTTAATTGACCTTAAGAAATAAAGTCAGCCTGACCAAAACAATTGCGTCAAAGCTTTCCCCTGCACAAAGAAAAATGTTTGAGGATACTTGCTTCGGGCCATGGCTGAAAGTACAACATCCCGGTGGAGATGCGATGTTGACACACCTGTTTCTTCAAACCATGACTAGCGATCTACCAGATACTATACAACGTCATGATGAAGAGATATGGTTTGATTTTCCACCGGCGTATACGTATTTTGGGCGGGAGGAGTTTTGCTTAATCACCAGTCTACGCTTCGGACACGATGATGTAGATCAGTACACTAGACACATTACCCGCCCATCATGGTTATCCCGGGTTTTTCCTGAGCTGGAGAGGCCGAATCTACACGTGGAAGACCTGACGAGATTATTGAATAAGAAAGATGGTTTTACTCGGATGGATGACGTCGATGTTTTCCGAGTATGCCTTCTAATACTTTTGCATGCCGGCTTTTTAGGCAGAGAGGCCAGACAACCTATTCCAAATGATCTAATCAAATTGGTAGAAGACCTAAATGCGTGGAACCTGTTTCCGTGGGGCTCGTATTTATGGAAAGCTACATGGAATAAGTTATCGTCTGCCTTGGATGATCGAAAAAGTTTGCATGGCGATGGTTCCAAATACACTTTGACAGGCTTTATTTGGGCCTTTAAGGTAAGAATTTTTATATAATGTTTCCAAAATTATAAGTAATTATTTAACAATTACTAATGTTTGTTATTATATTGTTTGTAGATTTGGATATTTGAGGCCTTTCCCGCCATGAAGACATATGCAATAAAAACTTCAAATGATATTCCCAGGGTTATTTCCTGGAAGAGGAAACAGACCTTGCAATGAGAAGATTTACTACGGTATACGATAATAAATAATGTAAGTTAACATAAATACTACCATATGTTTACAAACAAGTTATTACTAGTACACGTTTAACTTTGTTTGAGCTTTTATATTGTTAGGAGGCCAACACTCCATTACAGAGGCTGACACCCACGGAAGCTGAGCTTGCCACTGATTGGTGACAAGCTAGTAAGCGTTTTTTTGATGGCACGGATGATGAGCAGCCTCCACTTCGGGAGCCATCACCTCACCCAGAGCTATCACCTCACCCAGAGCCATCACCTGATCGACCTGACTATACACCTCCACAACGACAGCCATCACCTATTCTGTCACATCATCGAGCCTCTTCTCCACCATCACCGCAAGATAGGCGACCGAAAAAGATGCCACGACGTTTATCTCCCTGTTCTCCACCTCCACCTCTACGGGATGAGTTAGGGGAGTTACGTGATGAGGTCAATGCCTTGCGTGAGGAGGTCGGTACTTTACGCAAAGACGATGGTGCATGGCGTGTTGAGGTGTCTACTTTACGCGGTGAGGTAGCCGCTCTACGTGAGATGGTAGCATCGTTGCAGAATGAGGTTCATACTCTACGCAACGAGGTAAATTTAAGATTTTTCATATTTAACTTGATGATAAATTTACTCGTAATTTCACTTAGATTAACCATTTCAC